AAGAAACCATTTCTCCTATCCTTTGTGTGACTCTCTTTGCCTTGCCATGAGACTGGAAGAAGCTAAGGGGCAGAGGTAGGCATGAGGCAGGTTTCCTCCCTTTCTGAATGGCAATGATGAACCGGCTTCTATACTGGGGCAGGCACTGTTGATCTGATTCAGTAATTCTGGTTTTCTTTCTTTCTGGCACAATCTAAGCCCCATCTCTGCTTAAGATGCTGGCATCTATGCAATGTTTGCATGCTGCTGGTAGAGTGGGCCGCTGCTTTTTGTATGGGTGCAAAACGAGAGAGGAAGTATATGCTCATGGATTCTTCGGGGGGAGAGCAGGAGGCAGAGGGTTTCATGGGGGAATAGTGCTTAAATGGATTTTTTTTGCGGGGGGGGCACCTCTGGCAGGAAATGGCAGGGAAGCACTGTACATCAATATCTGAGAGACACCCCCACTTACCCGAGCGGAGCTGACTGTGGTGGAGGTGAAGTGGCTACCGGTGGAGGAGATCGTGTCACTGTAGGACATCATGGAGTAGGAGTCAGCGCCAGAGGGCTGCCGGGCCTTCATGGATTCGATCTCCCGCTTCAGAACCAGGTTATCAAAGCGATCAAGGTCCTGAGGGGATATCACACCCCTCACCTCTGAGAGCAGCGAGAACTGAGCAAGAAAGAAAGGCAAACACTTGAGAAGGGGCATGGGAGGCCTTGACACTGTTTTGTGCTGCAGCCTCATGGTAGAGATTCTTTTAACCCATTGGTGCTAAGAGCTGGAAAGACTAACAGCACAAGGCCACAACTGAACCACCTGAAGGAGGGGTCCAAAGAGGATGGAGCTGGACTGTTCTCAGTGGTGACAGGTGACAAGAGCAAGGAGCAATAGTCTCAAGTTGCAGCAAGGGAAGTTTAGGTTAGATATTAGGAAGAATTTTCTCACTAGGAGGGTAGTAAAGCACTGGAACAGGTTACCCAGAGAGGTGAGGAATCTCAATCCTTGGAGGTTTTTAAGACCCAACTAGACAAAGTCTTGCAAGGCTGGGATGATCTGGTGATGGTCCTGCTCTGAGCAGGGGGCTGGACTAGATGACCTCTTGAGGTCCCTTCCTATCCTCATTTTCTATGATTTTAACTGCAGCCAGGGCTAAGTGGAGCCCACAGGCAGTACTCAGATTGGAGTACTCACAGCATGGTAGCAGGCACTCAAAGCAGCTAGAGTGCGAACTAGCACAATGTAAATAGTTCAGATTGGGTGTGCAAACAATGCGAGCCCTGGTGGCGTGTGCATAGGTACACCCCTGCGGCACCACACTTTCTGCTCTATTAATTCTCAGCACATGGTACACGCAGCAGGAGAGCTTCAGACCTGGAGGGAGGGGGGGGGGGGGCAGGAACCCCAGGAAATTGACATTCATTTAGTTTTCAATGTTTCTTCCTCCAGCAGGGAGCTCCATTTATTCCCCTCCCAGCAAGATATATAGTCTCATTATGGCACCAGAACAGAGTGAGTGGGTTTTCCCTCCCATTGTTTAACAACTGCAGGAGGGGCCATTAAGTCCTCAGGGATTTTGAAGGAGATCCTCCCATCACTTAACCCCTGCGGAGGGCAGGCAGAGCCCAGGCATCCCCCTCCTCCCCACTTTCACCTCAGGTATGGCAGGGAGTGATATGCCCTGGCAGATGCAAGCATAGCGGGGCAGAGCATTCATGCTGGCTGGATATGGGCTGTGCATTCCCACCTAGGGAGCCAGGCACAGTATAAGGGGTTAGGAGGAGAGGCACCGACCCCGGGTTCCCAGGGAGCTGCGGCATTAGGAGTTGGGGATTGCCTTTCCTGCTGGGAATATATTCCCCTCCTGCTTGATGATGTCAAGCTGTGCTCAGGGGAAGAGATGGCCCATCACCCTCCCCAGATACACACATCCGCATGTCTGAGGGACTTGGAAGTGCTGAACCTAAGCTCCTCTGCCTCTCTGTGTATAATAAGCACAAAGAAATCCATCTGTGTTGCATCTTGCTGGATGGCTCAATCCCACAGGGGGCCCTGCCACCGCATGTCATGGAAGTGTCAGCAATATCCAGTAGAGGGAGGGGTGAAAGAGAAGAGCGTGTGCATGTCAGGGGTGGAGGTGGGGATGCGGGTGTTACATACTCCACTGTGCAGAGCAAATCTGAGCTTTCAAAGCCCTGGGGCAGAGTTCATGCAGCAGGATGCTATGGAGAGGCAGTTCAACCGGTTTCTATCATAATGCCTTGTTTTTGCCTGCTCCCTGCATGTCACCTTATTAGCAGCAGATATTTGGTTGCTTGGCACTTAGAGGCCCCAGGCAGTATCAGAGCTGCATCCTCCTGGGTGCTTTGTGAACACAGTAAAAGACAGCATCAGCCCCAAAAAGCAGGAATGAAAGCAGAGGCACTGGGAGACAAAGTGATTTGCCAAAGGTTACACAGTAAATCACTGGCAGAGGGAGGGAGAAAGCAGAGGCCCCGACTCCAAATCTACTGCGACATCCATGGGGCCATGCGATCTCTGCTGCAGCATTGGCTTGGGAAATTCATTTAGCTTCAGAACAGCTGCAGTCTTCGGTGACTCACAGGCTTTGGCATCATTAGTCTATTAGTCCATAAGGTGCAAAACTATTCTACCTTCTCCCTGACTTGAGACTAACATGGCTAACTACCTCTCTTTGGCATCATGAATGCTGGACTGACTTCCGCTGCTATAGCACCACTTGGCTCCCTCTGCTCTGGGTGAAACATACTTCTTTAAGTCGGGGTCCCTCTGCCTCACCTTGGCATGTGTATTGAGTAACTCAAAGAGGGCCATGACTAGGGAGTCCACAGAGATGTTGTTTTCCTTGTACTCGTCCAGGTAGTAGCCCATGGTCGCCCTCTCTTGTTCATTCAGTAGATGCCGTGCTTGCTCCTCTAGCATGACTCGGGTCTGGTTCACCATGCTGCTCAGGGTGACCTGCGAACCAGCCAGGCCCCTGTAAAACATGGGCTGAAAGAGAACATATAGAAACAAGGGGAATAGATTACCCTGGGCCTGAGAGGCTGGAAACCAGCCTCCAAATTATCGTAGGGTTGGCTAGAGCTAATGCCATTTTAGCAATTACCTTCCCTTCTCCCCATGCTGAAGTCCCGCAACAGAATTTTGCTAGCTGGTTGGGAGCAGGTTACCTGAACTATAGGTTAACTGAACTAAGAGCTGGGGAAATGTGCTTTGCAGGACAGCTGGTCTAAAGACTCAAGGCCTCTTTGTATCATCAGAAAATCCAACATGTGCAGTGGTAGGTAGGGCTCTTTTCCCCCTGGACACTGCTGCTACTATGCCCCATCCAAGGCCTGGTGGGGGTCAAGTCTGCAGTTGAGCAGGAGAGTGCATTTTCCCTGTCTATTCAGTCACCAGCCTCCCTTCTCAGCCTGTCAGCTGGGGGCTTCCCTGTGAGATGGGTGCCTGCCCACCAATAGGAGCTGGACTGACAGCCCAAGCTTGATTCACCCAGTCCAGCCTGTGATGGAATTGCAGACACTCAGCCCTTTGGTGGACTAGCTGGGGCACCCCAAACTGGAAGCAACACAACTCAGAGGTCACTGAAAACACTGGCGTTCATTACTACTGGACTGAACTGGGCTGGTCTCTTCCTAAAGCTGAGGTGCTCTACAGCCAATTACCATTCCCTGCCTCCATCCAGCCCTCCCAGAGCATGCTTCTAACAGAACAGTGTACCTGAAGGAATCTGCAATAGGGTGGACAGCCCTTAAGAGTCCGCTAGATTGGAGACCCTAGCCCTATTTTACCTTGCTGGGAATATATCAAGCACTCCCATAAGAAGCACAGTTCAAGAGGAGAGCTATGAGTACAAGGAAAGTCCCTTCAGCCTGCTTTAGTCAGAGAAATAACTTACTTTATGAAGAATAAAACTGTGCTGTGGGAGAAAGGCCCAAATGGCCTTTTGGGCCTGGCATTAGTGGGGAAACAGAGCAGCAGTCTAGAGGACCCTCCTTTTGAAAGCTTGGTGAGCACACAAAGGAGCACTGCTTCACAGCCCTAATTCATTCTTAATGCTGGAACAAGAGATTCGTTATCATCGTTATGTGGAAGTGTCTGAATAAGCCTCATTACTTTAATATTAACCTTTTCCTCTGGTCACAGTTTGCATTTTCTCATTTGAGTAAATCTTGCTATTTAAAAAGAAACTGTTGGCAGTGTGTGCGTGACTTGTCTCAGGAGGAAGCTGAAGAAATGCATATTGGTCATTACACAATCAGATGAAATTGCAAGGTATCTATTAGCTAAGAGCAGACCAGAGGCTTTGAAACAGAGTTGGGGTGGGATGTGCCCCTCAGTTACAGCTCCTTATTTCTGCAAGCATTTGGCAACGTGCTGCCCTTCCAAGCTGGCAGCGAAACAATTCCCCTGCACGGTGCTAGGGGCTCTGTGCTGACAGGAGTCGCTCTAGAGTGATGCAACAAATGGAGAATTTGATTTCTGACAGTCATGAGAGGCCTGTGGCACTATTCTTAGGAGGTCACAGTTTGGTGTCCTGGCTGGCTGTCAATGTGGCTTGGTCTGGTTGGCCAGCCTGCAGTTTGAATCAGTCACAGTGTTCTGCATTTCCCATCCTGCCCTGTTGCTGGCATTGTTAAGCATCTGCTATGTCTCACCCCAGAGGCTGTTTTTTTATAGCGGCATAGCCCAGCAAGATCTTTATCACTCCTAACAGTGCAGATTTTAATGCTCTACATGGCTTGTGGAAGATCTGCCTGGAAAAGCCCCAGAGAGTTCCCACCAGGCATCTCTGCTGGAATGACTGTGCTTCTGCATCCCTACAGTGCCTTTCACCTAAGCAGGGATGGGAAGTGATATTTGGATGGGTACACAGGCAGAGAAAAGCAGGGCTGTTTCCTTCTTGCATGCAACTCCATGGCCTTACAACCATCTCTGATGATCCGTGGGATGTTTGTCTCATCCTCTCCTGAGATAAACCCTCCAACTGTTTGCAAGCTTCCTTGCTCTCTCACCTAGGCCAGCATGCAATGTAATGGCAGACACTCAATCTGTGTCTGCAACAGTCATCTGGTGCGTGAGCTCTGTGAGAAGGCGATGGTGGAAGAAGGGAACAGGGAAATGCACTGAGGAATGCGAACCAGGAGGGGAGATGAGAACTGAATGAGTGAGTAGCTAAGACCAAGCTTAAGCTCTGGTGATTCTTTGCATGGTCTCTGAGGCCAAAGGACTGAAGATGTCACCAGAGGGAGGTAAAAAGGTACATCAGGTCAGCCAGTGAGTTAGTAGCAGAGCAGTGGTGGTGCCTGGCATGCTACACAGCAATACGCAGACAAATGGATAGCTATAAAAAGAACCCACGCCTCCCTGATCTGAAGGGGTCTCGAGTCCCTGGCCACTGTTCTAATTAATAGATCAGCCTGTCCCTGATGCTAAGGAGGTTGCACGATGTGGAGAAAAACTGGAGCATTCCCAAGGTTTTGCAAGGATAGGCTCCTGCTCACCAAGGCCAAGACTAAAATAATCCAGTTTCTGCCTTTGTGTGATGATTTGTACCAGTAACTATGAAGCTGCAAAATTACTGCACATTAGCTGGAGAAACAAAGTAGCTAACCAGCCCTGTTCAGTAAGCAGTGAAGTTGTCTCTTGACTAGCAATTGATTTCACATTGTCACAGCAGGCTGTATTTCTCCTGGGAAGGGCTGGATGCAACTCAGTTCCACTAGCCAGAGTCAGACTCCCCACATTGTTTGGGGCTGAAGAGCAAGATCAAAACATGTTTTTTTTTTTCTTTTGGTGCTGCAAGCTCAAAGCAAGCCCCAGTGCTGAAGAGAGTGCAGAATGCACCAGCTAGTCACCAGCTCCCAGATCAATCCTAGGGAGAGTCAAGCCTGGCTGAGTTTAAAGGGCTTTTTCTTTCTGACTGATTTCTAACCTGATGCGTTTCCTGAATAGAGCGGGGATCTGCTGTTCAGCCTTCGCTGCGTCAAGGATGCAGATTATCACACAGAAACAAAACCCAAGCAAACACCACACAGGCAATCTGGGCGACAATAACAGGGGAGACTGTGAAACATGTTTTGCCAAGTAAGAAGCATAAATCTGTTATCAGCACAAGCCACCTGCAAAACTTCCCAACTCATTTCCATTTGAAAGGTCTCCACACAGATAGGAGTTTAGGGGAGGAGTGCTGACAGGCAGCAAGGCAGCAAAGCCCAGTGTGGAGGGCTTCTTGTCAGCGGGTTTGTGACTGTGTTGGCACATCCTGTGCTGGAGAGGGATGGGACTCCTGGTTCAGCTCAGCTCTGGCCAGCTGGGCATGGCAAAGGTCTTGGTACATGAACGCAGTAGCTGGCACAGCCCAGGCATGGCACACTGATGGAGTCATGGAGCTGTGCCTAAGATGCTCATACTGCAGAGGTCTGGGCTGGCAGTGAGAGGGCACTGCTGGGAGGAAGCTCTCATTGCAGTTTTCGGTAGGCAGAGCCGAGGGGACATTAGTGCCACTTCCACCCTATCCTTCTCTGCATGTGTTTATTCTCATTAAGGAGAAGAGAGGGGAATCTAAAACAGCACATTAATCACAGTCTGATCCTGCCGCTTTCATTGGGCTTTTAGCTCATCAGCACCTAACTAGCTCCATCTCCCAGGGGTGCCCCCTCCTCAGGGGTCCCTTATCTCTCTCACGCGGAGGCAACTTTGACTTTGCGCCACCATCGGGAAGGAACAGATTAAAGGGGGGAGTGGGGAGTGCAGTGCATCAGTCCTTGTTTCCCAAGGGGAGGAGGGAGCTCATCTACACACACTGCAGCCAGAACCTGAGAGGCAGAGCAGCCTGAGCTGACAGAGGTCAGCAATCACTGCGGGCTGTGTGGTCTTGGACTAAATCAGTCTGAAGCGTATCTCCACCTGTCTGGGACTAGCAGAGATGGTACAAGCAGTCCTGTAGTGCATTGAAATGTGGCTCTCCTGATTCTTACTGGTGGGATGCAGCTGGAATTCTAATTTTGCATAAGATTGCCAGCTCCAATGCACCTTTCCAGAGCACTGATTACATTGTTGGCCAAACTCCCTTCTGTGGCTTCTGAGTCCTGGGAAGGACTTAGGGTAACAACCTATATTGATGCTTGACCACCCAGGTGTGATTTGTCACCCCAAGGACTACAGAACCAGAGAGATCTCCAGTGTCTATCAGTCCAGCTGCCTCCATAAAACACCATCTGTTTAGAAACAGTACAAGGCAGCTCTGTGCCTTTGGGGCCACAAAGGACTCTGAACAAAGAATAGGGGCCACAGCCTTCAAGGCCACAGCTTTGGGCTGTAAAGTCATGGGGCAGGTCAGAGGAAAGATTCATATGATTGTTTGCCCATAAGCTTAGGGGTTTTATCTCCATACAGCAAACAAAGACAATAAAAGAAACCAAACAAAATGAAGGCAAGAAAAGCATTGGTGTCAGGAAGAGCTGTACTGATCTTCCATTTATGTACAGTCTCATTTTATGGTCCATTTTAATAGAGTGCAGTCTAGCACAGAACAACACAGACTCCAAAGGCAGTTTCTCAGCACCTTCTTGGTAACTAAATTCTTTCCCCACCCCAAGCCTGGAGCCTGCCAGGTTTTACAGAGCTCTGTGGATTGATGCTGATGGGTTGCCAAATGTTACCAGCCGCTCAGCAGGGCTTCTGACCTTCACACCCTTGCCCACAGGCTCCCAGCAAAAGAATTATAGTTAAGGGTATGGCTGGCTATCTCTATACTTGTCACTGTAGAAGAGAAAGTAAAGGTCTCCCAACAGTAATACAAGTCATCTGCCTTTGGAGAGCTCTCTACCAGGGAGAAGAATGGATCAGAGAATGGATTTGGAAAGGGAGCCAGGGTTGCTCTGGGCTGGCATGCAGGTGAAGAGGTGTCACCGTTATCTCTAGCTTGACATAGCTGCCAAGTAAAAAAACATAACATTTAACATTTTCTCATAATGTTTTCAATCTGTTCCTCCCGAGGCCAGGCCTTCCAGAGCTGGTCACTTGCTTAGCCCACCTAGGGGGACGGTACATTCATTGTCACAGCCCTGAGTGACTGTAGAAGGGGGAAAGATTCTACTAACAACTCATAATTTGCGTGGGAAGGAGCTGGCAGAGATTTGCCTCCAGGATGTAGTTGCCACCTAACTGTCTTGCTCAGAGGATGCCCCAAATGTTCCCTGGCGGGCTACAGGTTCCATAAAGACAGCAAGAAAAATCAAAATGCATCTCTGTCATCCCAGCCCCAACCCCTGCTGAGGTGACACTGTCAGCCTTAGCAATGGCATCCAAAGAGGGAGCAGAACCTCTTGCTCCCCCTTTGTGCCTTCTGATCTGGTCTCATTTCCAGAGCACTTTGCACAACACACAAAGCATTGTCACTTCTCAGTTCATGCCACCCCCTCGCTGCTTGTGTTGTCTTGCTCATGAACCATTGTAATACACAGTTCTCTCTCAGCTTCCAGTTCTCTTCAGCCCGTTTCACTCCCAGGTCTAACCCTCGTCCCACGTAGCTTCTTGCTGAGCTGTTATGTTTCTAGGAAGACCTGGAAAGTGAAGCTCCTCCATTGTCTCTGTGGGAGTTCACATCTATCCTTCCAGCTCCTGTCAGGTTGCAGGTCTCTTTTCTCATTGCACAGGGATGATATAGGAGCTCCACAAGATAGGTGACTCCAGAGAAGCTTACATCTCACATGGAGAGGGGGAAGTAGTGAGAGGTCCCCCTGCCCGTCTCTTTTATCCATCTGCCAGTGAAATGGCTTGTCTTTCCTGGTGGTGACTCAGAGTCTTTCCAGCCTCCCCAGAGCCCTGCAGATTAGTCACTCCTGAGATGTCTGCCACAATTATAATGATTGTAATTGCACCAATGTACAGATAGCAGGATCTAATGGCTGGTAGGAGGGGGGACAATAGCCAGTTCTCATTGTGCAGTGGGATCAGACACATCTCTGTCTCCTAGAGAAGGATTGGCAGTGACACCAGTAGACCAAGGTCACTGAGAAATGAGAAAACATTTGTGCGTTCTTAAGGAGGAACATCTGGGTTTTCTAGAAGTGTAAGTGGAAACAGGTTTGGCTTTTCAGGTTCCTCCCTCTTCCCTGCAGCTTTCTTATTTCCAAGCCATCTCTTCACAGTTCAGATGACGGGAGTGCGTGTCCCATTGGGCAGGACAGAAGGCTGGGCTTTGGCACACACACAGTCTCAGACTGGCTTTGTCACTAACACATTGTGGAACCTCTCCTTGCATCGGCATTAAGTACTTTGAGATCTGTGGACGAAATGTGCCTTGTAAGTGTGAGCATTAGGTCATCTTCAGAACCACAGAATTCACCACAGGGGATCAGGCATCTGGTCCTTCAACTCTGATATTGTCCCTAGACAAAGCCAGCTACTGTATTACAACCTAGGCAAAACCAGCTGTTTCAGCACCAGAGGCTGCCAAGAAATTTTCACTACCAACCCAAAGATCATGGTAGGTGGCACATGCAAACTTCTATTCTCACTGACCTGAAACTCTCTCAAAAGCTGGAATACAGAATCTCTGGCCACTGCATCACTTCCCCAGCTTCCTTTGTACATGTCTGCACCCTGCCATGACATCGTTGCAATACCACTACCCAAGGCCACTCAATGTCATTTGCATGTCATTGCTAATGGATTGTTCTTAAAGAAATACTTTGTCCTATGAAATCCCAACATCTAATCTCTCTTCTTTACTTCTTCCCAGTGATGGGAAACAGAGGAGAAAATGCTGTGCATAAAGGAAGGCACTAAAAAATTCAGTGTCATAAGTCACAATGGCTTGCAAAACTCATCTTCCATGGAAAGGCAGGGGAAGGAAGAGGCCTAGGCATGGAGGAGAGATGGGGAAGGAACAAGAGTTTAGAGAAAGGAGTGGGAAACTGCTCTAGTCATTCCAAACAGCTGATACATTTTGGGGTCCTTGTCCACTGAAAGATAAACTCTTGACAACTATCTGTGAATTGTCTGCCAGTTTTACTCCCTAGCAGATTGCAGTTCTCCCAGAACACAGCTGCTCTGGAAGGATAACCCTCATTAAAATGCCAGATGCAAGAAACCCATTAATGGTAGAAAGAAAGGCAGCTGAAAGGAGGGGAATTGCAAGGGACACGATGGAATGAGAAGCCTGAAGGGTCTAGGGATGGCTGTCTCTCATCAGGAGTTTTTGAAATGAAGCTACACCAAGCAGATCTGGATTTCAAATGCCTCAGGCTAGGTGTTCAGTCTCTTTAGACGACCCTGAACTTAGATATGGTATCCATCTGTGTAAATCACACTGCTTCCATTACCTTTGCTGCAGTTACTCTGCACATCAACTCAGTAACAGAGATCAACATCAGGCCCATGGCTAACTCCAAAACATGGAGCTGGACCTCAGTGCAGATTCTGTATGTCCTCATAGCATGAGGTGCTTTGGAGATGTGGGGCTGGTTTGGAAGAAGGGTGCTGGTATCATAGAACAGAAGCTTTTCCTTCAGAGCAACAAAAGAAAAGGAAATGAAGCAAAGCTAGCTCTCCTCTCCCAGTGGGAAATGGGACACCTTTCACCAGCCCTATCACGTTGTTAGATATCTAGTCTGTTCAGGAGAAAGCCTGGATGCCAGCCCATGGGAACCCCTCAAACATCCTTGTGTATCTCCCTGGGTCAGAAGCGTCTTACCTTTGCCGAAACCTCTGCTGTGTGATCACCAGCCATCCTACAAAGAAAAAGAACAACCATAAGCACTATCCTAGCTCAGGAAATTACAGCAGCCCTCACTGGTAGGCTGGTGCTTACTCTTCTAGGGTTATAGGTTTTATTATGAAGGATATTAGACTAACGCAAGATTATTAAGTTTCAGGCTGTATGTCACAGGCTAATGGCTCCATGATCACAAGGTGAAGTTCTCTAGACTCATGGGCATGGATCCATGCTATTGAATTCTAGAGCATTTGCAGACTCTGCTAGGTTTTAGGTCACTGTCCAATGGATTTGGGGGAAATAGTCACATTATTTCTTGGGTACAGGTTTCCAGGTTCTAGGGTAGAGGGTGCTAGGCTTGAAACCCAGGCTGCTAGGGTCCAAATTACAGATACATACATAGCAGGTATATGCTGAAGATTAGGATACAAGATACCAGACCTGTTATTTTATAAAACTATGACTAGGTGACTCCATGTGTAAAGTAACACAGAGCACTGGTTTGTAGACCATACAAGACAAGGTTCTGTTCCTCTACTGCTGGACGCATACAAACCCTGTTGAATTCACCAAGGTCTCTCCGATTTGGGAGCTGGCTATCCACTTGGTCTCATCCACAGTGGTACGGGCATGAGGCAGCCTCCCAACATCTTTCACAGTCATGATGAGGTGCCGTGATGACTTCAGGAGCTTCACTGCCTCATCATGGGGAATGTTAAGGAAGCTTCTGCCATTCACCTCAAGGATTTGGTCTCCCACCTATGGACACAGGGAGAGAGAGGGAAAACTAATCAGAACGTGTTAAGTATCTCTTCACATTGCAAAAAAGCATTTCTTTTGCCCATATATCTGGTGTGATTAGGCTTTCCACTCCATATCCCAGGGTCATTCCTTATCCATATAGCAGCGTGCTTTTTCTGGGGTTACTGACCTTACTGTTTCTTGAGTATTTCCTTTTTTCTTGAAATGCTGCCTCTTCTGTGGTGACTGTCACCTTGGCTGACATACTGGAGACTTCCAGAACTAAAAATATGGGCTGCTACAGATTGAATAAGAAAGACAAGGCATCCTGGCATGTGCTGCACAGGGGAACTTGTAACATATGCTCACCAGTGGGTTTTATTTCCATTTCCTTGAGGTACAGCTGGGCTGCTAACACCCATTGGTGAGATTTTCAAATGAGGTTGGCTATCATTTAGGGATCAAATAATGTAGCCTGGCTTCCCAAAATGCTCAGCACATTGGGTCCACATTGGCTGCAGAGTGCTTTTGAAAATCTGACCCATATTTAGATGCATAAGTGGGAGTTGAGCTCTCCTGGTAACCTGATGATGGGTGCTGAGCAATGAATGCCTAGCCTTGTGCTCTTTGGAAAATCTTGGCCCTGACACTCAAAAATGGGGACAAAGATTATTTATTTAAAAAGAAACCAAAGTGTTTTAGTTCTGAACCTGTGTATTCTCCCTGGCCTCTTGCTTTCTCAGAGAATTTTGATTGCTCTCCAAAACCTTTGGTCTACTGTGACCATCTACTAACCCATTCCTTATTGAGTTCAAATACTGTGGCTTACAGAAGCACCAAAGACTAGCGGCACCCTCAAGTCCTTTCTCACTGCCTCCCTTCAGAAACACTTCTTGTGCCACTGGCATTGGAAAGCACAGGAATCAATTCTACATAGACCATGGCTGGTTGTATTGACCACCCACCAGACATGTAAAATCTCTGGAGTTTCACTGGTTCCGGGTGGTTTCCTTCAACACCCAACCCTGTTCCTTTTTGCTGGAAGATGCCTGGGACTAGCACATTTTACACCCCGCTGCCTCTCTGAGCTCCCAGGGGACATCACATGTTTTGTGATCATCCCGTCTGCAAGGGCCCAGTCTTGATCACATTCAAGCCTGCAGGGACAGGAAGTAGCCTGAAGTTGAGTAGCTGCATTAACATTGTCCTCTTATTTTGTAATCACTCCTAAGCCCCAAATGGATTTTCCTATCCCCCACACAGAGCGCATCCACCAAGCTATTACACAAGTCACCTAGTCACTTGGGAAAAAAAAAAACAAACCTTTGCTGACCTCAGCCCCATTTAGCTATTCAACACTCCCAAAAATGGTGACACCTGGATTTGGCTGTGTTTGAACTGTTAACCTTGTTTCATTGTTCAGTTTGCTCTGGGACCACAGGGGCACAAGTTGTGCATTGCACAGAGGGTTATTTTTATTCACCACCTTGCACCCTGTACCCAACTGGAGCAAGCACTCTTTTGCTGCGGTCTCCTCTGCGGTGGCCACAAGATTCTCCATCTCAGTGAAAATCTGCATGGATCTCTGTGCTGGTGCTGTCACTTGGCAGCCAAATGGTGGCTGCCCAGATAGACCCATTCAAGGTGCTTTGTTTTCCAGCATTTTTCTCTTTAACAAGAAGCACCTCTCCAGCCATGGCAGGACATGACCCACATAAAAAACGGGTACAGGAGGTATCTCCTTCTCACAGTCCCTGCTTTGAAAATGCCTGGGGGTGTCCTGTGTGGAGCAAGGCTTTGGGATATGGCTGTCTTAAATGTCCCAATATTACTGAATGCAGCTGCATAGCACAGCCACGTGGAACTTCATGGCAATGATGGGTACAGGACCCAGACCTCTTATTGCAAGAGCTTTCAACAGTACACAGCATATGACACAGTAGAGGAGTGCCAGCTCTCTCCAGCAAGGGACAATGGCATAATTACAATTGGCAGTCAGTTCAGTATAGTCACTGTACAATTATTTCTCCCTCAAACTGTTTGCTCTGTTTGGGGAACTAATTTAGCCTCCACACAGCTGGCCAGCAAGGGGACAAACTACAGTGCCTGTGGGATTATGTATCCAGAATACTGGTTCAAACCAGTGTGTCCACTCCCTCCATTAGGGAGTCTGGTCTGCAATTCCCTTAGGTTAAAAATAAACCCAGAAACTGCAAACAAGCGGGCCTTTTCTTCTCGTCAAGATTCCTCCTGAGCAGAACACAGATGGCAAGAGCCTGTGCAATCTTCATCTCTGCTCACTTCAGCTGGCCATAAATCACCTGCCAAGGCTGTGAGACTCTAATCCCTCATTGCAGCACTTGAGGTTAACTCCACCACACCTCACTCTTGCCTCCAAAGCCAAGCAAATTCCAGGTCTAAGGATAAGAGCTGAGACTCCATTTTCCTCTCTTCTGCCTCCAACTACTCATCTAACGTTATTAGAACTTCACTGCATGTGTCTCCGTTGTAAAAGACTGTGCTGGGAATTTCTGCCCTGTCTAGGATGCATCATTCACTTTGCCTCTCCCTTTCTTTTATCCCCCCTTTGCTTCCAGCGTATTCAAACCGGCTCCTCCTTCCCCTGCATCTTCCCAGCCCCTGTGTTTCAGATAAGCGACTTCTTTGAAACTGCTTCTTTGCTTAACCACAGGCTTCTGTTCAGCTTTGTCAAAACAAAGTCTATTTTCTTTATGCTTCGCTTTGGATAGCCTGTACTTTTACATTGTCACGGCATATTGTGGACATTTGGAAATTTGGTAACAGATTCCCCTCCCCTAAAAGTACAGCCCTACCACAGAGCAGAAGGACCGCACCCATGCAGTGTTTGCAGTACAAGGCAGACAAGATGCAGAAGAGCAGCTCTGGGTCCATGCAGAAAGCAGTGACATTCCAGATGGGGAAAAGCTGCTTTTCTGTAAGCCCAGGAGTTCAGGCCAGGCTGGGTCAATGTCCCACCAGAGTGTATCTGTCTGACTGTGGGAACCCTTTTTATCACTCCTCAAAACAATTTAAGCTCATGTTTTCCACTTCTGTGGAGCCTTGTGTGTTCCTCAGGAGTCAGAGGAGCGTCACCACCTCCCAACACAAACAGCCATAAAATAAATTCTGCTTAATAACAAAGAGCACAATTATCTTGAATTATACTGCATGTAACAGCCATATTTGGGTGCTCATTGCAAAGTTAATTGTTATTACATTTGGTTTTAATCTGCTTTGAAGTGGGTCTTAAAAAAATAAAGCTGACGTTTAAAGGGACCCCTGGCTAAGAGTGTATGAGCAATCTAGCTTCAGATTGCAAAATGAAACTCTTGCTTAAGGGGACAGGGCCAGCTCACCCAGGAAATCCTTTGAAACCCAATGGCCAAGAGAAGGCAATGGGTCAGAGGCTGCTCTTAGGATCGGGTGTAAAACCAGGGAACCAAGCTAGAGTTGGGACACCGTCAGTGATTTGGTGCAATGGGTATACAATATGACAGAGTAGCTCGCACTGTTTAGGTTGCTCCTGGAAATGCTCCAAGGGAGGACAGGAAGGGAGGACAATAAAGGCCACGGTACATTGGGCACACAGAGAGTGAATATTTATTGCTAGTGTTAGTGTTATTTAAGCAGTTACAACAATGCTGTTTATTCAAAAGCCCAGAGACATTTCAGCTTCTTATGTACTGGTGAACTTCTCACTGTGTGGGAAGTTGTGGGATCTTCCTCACTGGAGGTTTTCAGGAAGAGGCTGGAGAGGCATCTATAGGGGGTGGTTTAGGAACAGCACCTTCTGAATCTGGACAGGACAAAATGGCCCTCAAGGAGCTTTTCAACTTTCTGGTTTTGTGTTGTGACCCCTTCTCATATCTTTTCCCTGAGAAGAAAAGAACCTACTACTGCTATCTGCATAGGAATATGTGCTCCACTTCTACCACTACTGGGTTCAAGCCATAGCCACAACCAACCTGGGAGCTTGTTGTACATATGCAGGAGAGACACAAGGAGAGTGAGTTAAAGGTAATGTCTTTTTTGGGAAAAGACATGTCCTTGACACTATATCTTCCAAAGGAAGAGGATTCAACTTGCTGGAGAGGAGTGCTGCAGTGATGGCTTGAGAGTTGTGTAAATCCTATTGACCCTTCATACATCCACATGAGAGGGGTTGCAAAGCATGGTCCCAGGTCTGTTTTTCAGCCTAAAGGTAAACTGTTAAGAGAGTCAATACAGGTGGATGGAGAGATGGAGGAAAGGAGGTTTCCAGGATGGAAATACCTCATGTGCCTGCACAGAAAAGTGAACACACTTGTGGATATAAGTTCTCCTGGAAACGGTATTAACGAGACTGTACAGGTCAGGTCATTAGTTATGACGATGAGGCAAGGGGGAGTTCTTTTTAAAGAGCCTCTTCTAGAACAGCAGGTAGCCCTGGCAGGGCTTCCCCCAGCAAGTCACACTTACCCTGTGAGGCTACCTGTGGGGATGATGGCCTGGGATCCTCAAGAGTGACATAGAAACTCAAGAGAGAAAGGCATCACAGTACCACTCAACCAACTCGTTACTGAAATGGGAGGGAGTGAGGGACCTGAGCACCATTATAGATCTGGCCCTATGGGACTAAGGAACAGTATGCTGAACGCAAGACTCCTGAGTCTGAACCTAACTGCTATACTATCCTTTTTCTCTCACACAGCTCGCTTAGCTTATAGTCCACCAAGGAAGATCCTATCCTACGTGCTGCTATTACTATTGTTACTCTGTGGGAGCATCTCCACGAGGCATTTACTGTGCAGTTGCCTAATTAACTCCACAGTAAACATCTTGGCACTTACATGTGCGGCCCTCTTAGGATGCAGGGGTGCTTGTACACATGACAAAAATGTCATTGTGTGTGGCTTAATGGTGTCACAGTACAGACATGCAAGACTTTTGAGGGTTTTAAATGACTTTGCAACATTGCAAACTGCAATGATGCAGCTGTCAGCCTGTCCCCCAGCCAC